ATTATGCTACATGTCTGCATCATGATGCCCCGGTGCTAGACATCACTATAAACTGCCACACTGCAGACATCATAGCAATATGACTGAAAAAAAGTTAAAGCTACATTAAAAATCTAAATCACACAGATACACAAATCCTGAATGACTTTCCTTCTCCATGAGATCATCCACTCATCCAAAGACAGGTACCTATTTGGTACAAAAACACTTCCAATCGACTTATTATGTTACTGAAGACATAACCAATTACCCAGGAACAGATGAAACAAATATTAGATAGTATTTTACAAAATATGATAATATATACAACATAAGTTTTTTGTTTTACAAGTGTGATAAAACATTTACTTATTCATTTCCATTTTTGTCACATTAATCTACTTGTGACAGTGTTCTGATGTTAATTGACTGCTAACAGACTAAATATTTCACTTGAATCAACATAATTTATAATTTCATCCACATACATGCATTAGAATTATCCAATATTTCAGAATAGTTTTAAATATGAAGTGGACATCACTTGGATTGAGAAGCATTATACTTGAAGTTGTTTATAGTGCTTCTGGCAAGATTAATCTGCATTGTTGCAAAGATGGAAAAGCTCATAGTGATGAGAATTCTATCCCTTGACATGGCAGAAAGGAGAAAGGTGTCAACGTCGCTGGATCTGTGTTCCAATTGTCCTGCATATAAAATACATTCTAAGTAAAGTTTGATAGTAAATTACATGGATTCACCATACACATTATATAATTTGATTAATTGGTGAAAATGGAGATAAATATGTTATTGTTTCTCTTGGTATTACATAAAAAAAAGTTTGCTTTTACATATAAAAAATATGTATGAAAAACAAAATTACACGCCTGGATATCTTGCATCTGTCCCATAGCATTAGTCAGGGCTAAAAATAATTCAATTTCCTTTCCACTTGCATCACACCAAAGACTGGATTTGGGTTTCAAAAGCTTACATATCTGTTGCAGTAACTCATTAGTACATCAAAAATAATAATGTCCAGATACTTAAAAAAATATGACACAGGACAAAAATACATAAAAAATATCACTCCATTGACACTGTGATAATTATTTTAAATGAATCAAGTATCATGAGTTTTTTGTTTAGTCTTAATAGTAAATTTAACAGTGTATGTGATTAACTTATTTCATCCATAAAATTATATTGGTTTAAACATCTAAATTCACAAATAGAAATATATATTATCTCCCAACACATCTGGAATCCAAATGTGTAAATGATGTTGATGAAATTTCTTCAACTTATTTATATGACTGTATTAAATGTATTATATATATATATATATATATATATATATATATATATATATATATATATATATATATATATATATATATATATATATATATATATAGATGCAATAAACTGATGACGAACAGTACGAAACTAGTAACTAACTAGCCTAAGCGCTTTCGACTCTTAATGAGTCTTTTTCAAAGGCAAAGGTTTGTCGTAACTATGTTTTGTATTTGCCTTTGAAAAAGACTCATTAAGAGTCGAAAGCGCTTAGGCTAGTTAGTTACTAGTTTCGTACTGTTCGTCGTCAGTTTATTGCATCTATTTTAATTAATCCCTGACAGACGTGATCCCTTGGTGGATCCAGTACGCTTGAGAGGGTTGTTATTCGCCATATGATTTGTATTCTTTATATATATATATATATATATATATATATATATATATATATACTTATGATAGTTGATATTATAGAAGAAAAAAAATAATTCCTAAATATTGGAAGTAAGTTATTATGCAGACCATATTTTCCCAGTATTTGCAGATTATCTTGCCTATTTGTTTCCATAGCAATTTGATTGTAATCATCATCCATAATGAAGAGATTCAAATAATCCAGAGGCTTTTGAACTTGCTCAACAGGTGCCTGTATACCAGGTATAGATGTGAAACTGATTGGTTCGCACAGTTGCATCAGTAGCTTCCCACTCCTTTAAAGTATCAATATCTCAGTCACCAACATTATCATCTACCTCGTGAACATCTGCCTCATCAAACCCCTCAAATGTATACTCATTATCCTCATCACACACCAGCTCTCACAAATCTTCCTCATCACTATATTTAACTGCCATTATTGTTTATATTGATGTCATCTGTTGTCAACCACATTTTCTTCCAAGCAAATTTGTTACTTTATTCATTATTTTATCAGGCATTATGCATATGAAAGCAAAATAATTACTGGATCATCTTGTGGTGTTTATAATACTTTTAACACATGCTTGATGATTGGTGTATATTCAACATCCATTTAAACTATTATATGAAACCATATTTTTATAGCTCACATACAGAAGATGGTTCTTGTGACCATATAAATATGGTGGCTGCATATAGATTCAGGTAATGTAAGTGATAATTATATATATGGCTTCCGCACTACCAGGATCAATTTTGGTGCATTTATTTTTTTAATTTATTCACTGGAATTATAAAGTGCTCATTAATACTTCTTAGACTAAATGATTAATTCAGAATTATTGTGAATTTATAAAAGAACATTTTGAATTTTATGGATTATATTACTGTAATGCATTAAAAGACTTTACACATCATCACATTCCAGGCTATTGGTACAATAGCAGATTCAAGACTACATGCTAATCAGCACATTCAGTATTGGAATTTATTTGGAATTCCAACAGAACTCTATACATTTGACTTGTGAGAGAACTTTTCAGACTGTAGAATGTTATTCACAATAATGTAAGTTCTTTTTAAATTTTCTCTGGCTATTCAGGTTAAATAAATTGGTGAATTTTACAAACCTTTTTGGTTTTCCCTCTTTTCTGTTACTTACTTTAAGACCAGATACATAACACATGCTCCATCTAGGTATTGTAGGTGTAGTTTGGTCAGGGCTATATTGTGCCATGTGGTGTACTTGCTTGGTTTTTTAGGTGTATATCTAAATGAGGTTTATGCTATGTTGTGCTATGGGATGTGAACACTAGCTGTAGTCAGGCCCATTGCTATTGTTGTGTTGTGGGATGCTTAATTTGGCTTGAATTATAATTGGTTGAGTTACTACCTGCATCATGTCCACTTTGAATAGTCTTGTACACAATAATATCCACATGGCATGGTAAACTCCACTTTGTATTGGTAATGTTGAGTGTAATTAAGCCTATCATGTGCTCTATATATATAGTGTAACACAATGAATGCCAAAATTTTAACAACAGTGTATGTCACTAAACTCTTTACTATCACAGGTGCAGCATATTCAGTCCACTGTGTGTGTATTTAATGACTTGCATATATTTGATTAATGATGTGCATGATGTTATGACTGAGATTTTTGTGATTCACAAAACTGCACAAAGTATGAATAAACAATGTGTCTTGACATTGTTAGTTGTTACATGACATTGTTAATTATTAATTGATATTTGTTGTTAGATGACTATATCAGTGCTTTGTCTAAGATTTTAAAAATTCCTGGACCACATTTCAACCTAGAGTGAGGGTCCATTATATAGAAAACAGTAGACCCAGTTTTAAAGACTGATAGTCCAGGACTAGGAAGTAATAGTCCTGAAAACATGGACTCTCACTACTAAGAGGTTTGAAAATGTACAGGTTTAAGAGTATTACTTTGTGACTCCATTGAAAGCTGACCTTTTTATGAATGGCAATTTTAAAATATCAAAGAACATATTTCTAGAGATCATTATATACCAGGAGTATTAACTCACTGTGCATGCTATTCAGTGGCTTGTTATAAAACTCTGTTTAAAAACTGTATTAATTATAATATTCATGCATATTTTAACCTTGACATGGGCAATTTAAGATCTGAAATGTTCCAGATAACACTAAAAAATCAGCTTGTCAAAATCCATTTTAAAATATGATAATTATTAATAATCTGACTAATGAGATTGGAAATAAAAGGCACTTTTATCTAATGATTAGCCACCTATATTTCTTTTAAAGAATGGTCACTACCTATGTATTTATATCTGTCCTCTACATAGGAGACAAACTCAAGAACATCGAAGCCAATATTTGGAGTGTCATCACTTGTATTGAACAAATTGGAGAGAAGAGATGATAATGTATCAATTGTGTTAAGAGATGAAATGTGCCAATTGTGTTAAGAGATGATAATGTGCCAATTGTGTCAAGAGATGATAATGTGCCAATTGTGTCAAGAGATGATAATGTGCCAGTCTATTAACACACCTGACATGCACGCTCCTCCTTGACTAGAATTTACATGTTGATTTCCCCCTATGAGGTAGAAGTATTTGATATTAATTGCCAGAAGAAATTGCATAAAGAGTTACCACCCAAGAAAATCTAGGACTTTGTGATGGAATGTGGTTCATACAACAAATTTTAATATTGTTTTAAGTACTTTAAATGTTACCTTTATGTTATTTGATATACATTTTACAAATATCTATCCCTTATTATTTTTAATCTTCTACTTAATGGTTCTATTCATTTATAAAGGTTTATGTTAAAAAATTTGGCTAAAGTTTAATTTTAAAGTTTTCGTTTTGATCTTTAGTTGGCACCACATGACCAGTTTTCTCCTACATGTATCCGGATAGCTAAATTAACAGGGAGGTAACTCAAATTGAGGTAACTGATAAGCAGCGATAGTAATCTCCCTTTGATATGCTCTGCTGATGTGCTACTTGAAACAAAAATACAAATGCTTTTTAAAAGGAAAATGTTAGCATATATCATTTAGTAACTTGTAAAGAAAGAAAATGTTTGGAAAAATCAAGGTTTATGGCAGGACATCTGTGATGTATGACTTATTATGAGTAAATTAATATCACATTAGCATTACAATCCATTAGTGTGCTCAATATATTGATTGAAGTTAGACTTGGGGGTTTTTCTGACATCAGTAAGCTGTATTGGTACAGCAACAACTTTATGTCAACTCATAGGTGCCTGTCAAGTTTCCTATATTCCTTGACCACTGGTGGCCTAAGTGGTTAGAGTGTCTGCCTTGGATGTAAGAGGTTGCAGGTTCGAGCCCTGGCCAAGTCATGCCAAAGACTTATAAAAATGGTACTAACAGCTGCCTCACTTGGTGCTCAGCATTAAGAAGTTAGTGTTAAGACTGGTTGGCCTGGTGTCAGGATAATGTGACTGGGCCGGACATGATGCTACATCTTTGTGGCATTATGCCCCAGTGCTAGACATTACCTTAAACTTCCACAATATTGACATCATAGTGATATGACTGAACAATTGTTAAAACAATGTTAAAAATCCAAATCACACCCCCATATTTCTAGACTAAAAAGTAGTTATCCATCTTTTTTTCCTGACATTACTGGTGATGGCCACCACTAATGTTAGTATAATAAAAGGCACAGATCTACTTTTTGGCCTACCTAGATTCCATGATGGCCTGCTCACCCATGTTGTCAATGAAGGTGAGTCATCTGGACCACACCCAGTCACCAATGGAGTTAAGTGAGGCTGTATAATACCAATAACGATCTACAGTATGATTTTCTCTACCACGCTCACAAGTACCTTCAATGACAATAATACTGGCATAACTGATTGCAAGTCTTCAGTCTGAAAATATGAACAAGATGAAGATACAGGAAACAATTATTCACGATTTGCTGAAGACTGAATGGCCAACCCTCCTGGCTGTGGACAAGTTCACCTAACCTGGCCATAGACTTTTATGTGCAGTCCACATAATGAATCCAATGCTGAGATTGCTAAAGCATGTGTATTTTGGCAGATTAGGCACAAATCCAGTGGCATCAGTCTGCAACAAATCAAAGGTCTGTAAAGCCATTTTGTTGCTGACCCTGCTGTGTGTATGTGAAGCCTGAATGGTGCAGAGACACCATACCAAGAAGCTGAATCATTTTCACAATGGCTGTCTGAGAAAACTGAAGAGATAAAATGGCAGGACCAGGTCCAAGACTGGAGTTCTCACATGGACCATGCAGTCATACACAGCTGATAAAATTGCATAAGATGGAAGAGCCACATAACCAGGTTGTCAAATGAGTGACTGTAAAAGAAACAATCCATGGAAGGTTATTGGAAATGCTTCAGATGTTGATCACATTATAACTTCTTTTCACGCCATGTAAGACCCAGATATATGCTTGTTTTGTATTTGCACACAAAAGATTTTTCCTTATTCTGCTTTTTACTTTGTAGTTTCCAGTTTTAATACTTAGTTTGGTTTTAACATTTGTAGTCATGAGATATTTGTACATGTGGATGTGTTTTTAAAGGGAAACACTATATGGATGTATAATGACAGGCAACTTGCATTTTTTAATACATCTTTAATGTGCAACTGTTCCAAAAAGTAGATGTGAATGAATAGAGAATAGAAAATAAAAATAATTAACAATGTTCAATTTTATTTCTTAATAAAAAATATATTTTATCATAAAATTAATGTGTCAGGAAAAACTTGTACCCAAAAGTTTGGTGATATTTGGTGCAGCTTTTCAAAGATCTTCATACAACTAGATATTTTGGTATAAATAATTTTACTAGAATTGGTCAGCTGCCAGTCAACTGCCATATTGTTTCATTACCCTTTTCTCTTATTGGCCATCAAAAATGGTTGTAACCTCTTAACAATATATCATAATAGTGAGATAACAAAACATGCTAAAGTTGGAAGACTCCAGTCTAGTCAAATAATTACTGTTCTTTTCTTGGTGCATGCCGATGATTATTTTAATTTCTGAAACTTCATAAGTGTTATACATTTGAGGTGGTGTTGGTTGTGGTTAGTTTTATCTAGAGGATGAGCAACCTCTTTTTTTGCACTAATTGAATAGATAATAAAAATATGAAATTTATGAATGGTCCGAAAGCAGTATGAATAGATGAGGATCCTACCTCAGAGATCCCCTGTAACCCCCTCCACATTGTTCGTTAACATTTTTGTCGGCAGCCCTTTTTAGCTCATAATGACTCATATGATAAGGCTTTTCTAACTCATTTTTCTGACAAAAATATGTTTTGTCAGGAGATAGGATCAACTCGTCTATTTATACTACTATGACAGTCTATCAGCAAAATAATATTGTGACAAAGTGTTATATTAAACAAATGAAATATTATATATAATGTTGTATTATAAACCATCAACCAAACATGTTGGATTTGATCTGACAGATTTTGACAGATTTAACTCCATTAACTTAGTGTCAGGTTATACTGATATAAAATCTTAAATAGTAAGTGATTGTATTAAAAAGTAGGTTATCATATATCACTAAAAATAGGTTGGTATGGTTATTAGGGACTGAAAATGATGAACGAATAGCGGGTTGGGTAGATGATGTGATGGCATGTATTGATAATATGGTTGATATTTTATTTGATAATGATATTTCTAAAGCTACACAAAACTAAACATCTATGGTAATCTTTTTCATATTTGCTGACTCATTAACATAATATATGTTAACATACAAATCAATAATATGAAACACATATTAAATTGTCCATATATGTTACACAATGCAAATAAGATCGAATCTGATCAAGTCATTTTTTATAGGTGATACTTGCTGTTTTTCAAACAAGTTTTAGTTGCAAGTTGATGATCAACTTTTTACATGCTTTTGCAAGAGAAACACCATCATAATTATTAATAAAAACTGATTGATTGATGTGCCACTTGAAATTGTACTAGAGCTAGTCATTAACAATGGTAAATATATCATAGTATTTTGGTATAGTATTTTTAACATTTTTTCACAGTTTTTTTATGATAATATCTGTAATACTGCATTAGAACGTCAATGTTTTTTGGCATATGAATAAAATTGAATTTATTATTTTCATTATATATTATTTGTTTGCATATTTTATACCGTGATTGAAGTAATTCGGGAGTTTGTACACCAAATTCAATACATTACCAATAAGTTGCAGCGGTTAACTTTTTATCGTCTGATATCAACATAAACGTTTGTTTGGTATCTTTATTTAACACTATATACTTTCATAACAATTATAGGTTGAATGACGCCATAAATATGTGGCAAATGTACTAAATTTTGCAGTGCTAAATATGGACAGCCTATATACACCAGTAACTTCTGCAGTGTTATTTTGCAGTGACCATGTTGCTGATGCTGATGATATGGTGTACACAATATTGTTAGCTCGTCCATGAGGAATTTCAACAAGATTAGTTTTTAACGATATTAGGAATGCACTGACAACATCGTTAATTCTTGCGTTAATATAAGCAGGTTTATTATCTACAACCGGTGGACTTACAAAATTTACAAAATTTTAATTAGTAGTTGTGTTTAAATTTCTACGAAAATTTAGGAACGTTTGAACATGATTAGAAAAATCAGTCTTAAATGCAGTAATTCCATCATTGAGATATTGTTAACGAAGTTTTTACTGGAATTTCCTTATCGTCGACGTATTTTTTTAGATGCAGCATCAAAATCTGTTTCTTGTGTTCTGAGATTATTAATACCGTTATTGTTCATTTTAAGAAATGCATGCACGATGCCACCGCGCATTAATACGTCTTTAGATTCTTGATCATCAACGTATGTTTTTGCTGCTGCGTCTGATTCTGCTGTTAGATTTCCAAGATATGTAATTATATTATTGCTCATAATAATGTTACCAGTAAATATAACGCCAGCTTTTTTAATATAATCGTTAAATGACTTACCATAATTTTGTTTTTTACCTTGATCAGCAAAAGTAACTATAGTATTAACAACCGCAGTGGGAATTTGTATAAATACATATTACTTCCCAGAGATAATTTTAAGTACGTTTATATTGACATAAATAATCCACAACAGGATAAGTACGAATTACTTAACAGTTATAATGATCTTGAGGCTGGCAAAGGTTTTTGTATTATCAGACAACTAGAAGAACTTGTTCAAGTTAATCAAATTCATTCGTCTGAACACAAGATAGTTTTTTTTAAAAAAAATAATATTCAGCTAAACAACGAGGAAATAAATACAATCATATCTTATTTTTCATCATTGCGAACTAAGAAATAGTAATTATGTTTACCTCGCTCAGGGGTATTATAATGTTGATAAATTTATCAGGCGAAATGCTGATTGTTTTATATTATTTCCAGGACTTGACAATATTAACGTTAGAAACATTGCGAACAAACAATGCGGTGATATTACAAAATATATAAGAAAAATATTTACATAAATTTTTATAGAAAAATGAAAATTTAATGAAAAAGCAACGTAAAGCAAGCAGAAAATTTATTAAAAAAATAACTAAAACCCCAAAAAAACCTTGCAGTTTAAGACAAAATTAAAACAGCAAGCACGACCGTGGACAGATAGCTGTGGCAGAAACAGCTGCTGCTTTCAACCCAGTTATTGAGGCTCTACTTGGAAAACAACATGAAAGTAGGCCACTATCAGAAGAAGAACTTAACAAATTTACAAGAAAAAGGTTTGGTTTGATTAGATATTAAAAAAAAAACAATCCAACAAGACGGGTCTGAAGAAGAAAAAGTATTAGCCTGCGCACTTGTAGCAAATATAGGTGATCCTGTTGCAAGACAAGCTGCACGCACTAGATAGGCTAGTAAATAATCCACTGGAATTTCAACAAAGATTAGAAGAAGTAGAAGTAGTTAGACCAATTGAAAGAAGGTTAAAACACGAAGAAGAGCTTAAAAGGGTCATGAAAACTATAAAAGAAATAGAACAATTTAGAAAAGATTTTGAAAAAATAGCAGAATAAGAGGCAACAAAAATAAAGATTTTAATGAAAAATATAAATAATTTAAGGGTGTTAAAATACATCATGTTGAAAAAGCTGATTTTAAAGCCGATGAAAAAATTGACTTGTTAAAAAAATAAAAGAAGATAGTGAGAAAACCCGTAGCGATATAGTTTTAGAAAATACAAATTATCATGATAGCATTAAATTATATCGACATGGAACAATTGCTGATCTTTATATTAAGGCTATTAATGACACAAGAAATAAAAAAACAAACAAAAGTCATCCCAATAGTAGTTGAAGAA